CACTACATTTGTCTCAACTCATGCAAAAGAGGTTTTTTTGTTAAAGGAAAGCGTGCATTAAGGCACCCAATCATCCATATCAGCTGTGGTAATTGCAAGAAAGTAACATATGCTAAAGTCACAAATATTGATGAGGAAATATGCAGTGTTCGAGATTAGAAAAAGCCTATCAAAGAGTGACCCTGTTAAGTAACACCAATTAACCTTATATACATGTCGATGTCGTTCATCCACGTAATCCAAACTGTGATACCTGTAAAGAGAGAGAAATCGTTAGATTAGTTTATGCACAGCAAATCATTGTGGGATCAAACATATTCTGTTAACATCCAAAAAGAGAGTAATGTTGAGAAAGCACATTGAAGAATTCAAGTTTACACAATTAAAGACTTGGTAGAAGCAACCAAAACTAACCTCACTAATTTTTGAGGAAGTCTCGGCATGAACAGTTGACATGTCAATGTATCCTTTTCCAGTATTCATTTGCTCTAGAACACCATCTTTATCGATAACCACCTAAATTTGACCAAAACATGCATTATCACTGAGATACTCCAAATCACAAGGTTATTCACATTAGGTAATCTTCCCCTCCCTAATAATCTATCACCGTTCTCAAGTTCTTATAACATAAACCCAATAGAAACAAGGACAGGAAAAAAAACCCAATTTTCATACAAGAATATCATGAATCTAATATAAGTATACTTTTGAGAACAGACAAATATTATCATGGAAAATAGATCAAGAATCCCTTATAAACACAAGTACTGTAAAACAATTTACCCGAGACAGAGTGCAATTCCAAAGAGTGAGCTTTTAAATCCATGGCGAAGCAAGTTCATTGATATAATACTTAGCATTTATCAGAAATGTGTGCTGCTAAAACAGTGTAATTTTTCACAAATGTACCTTGCAATCCTCATATTCTATATTTTTATGTGCTCCATTCACTCCAAATCCAGATAATATCTGCATCAAAGAATAAATGATGTTTATTTTTGATAGTAAATGTAAAAGTTTGAGGTAAACCCACATCATGCTATACATTCAACAGATTTTCTACCGTTTACAACTGCAAACAAAAAGCAAATCTGTGAATACATTTGCATTACTATTTACCTTGAAAGAATATTTTCCCAGCCATGCACTCCCAATGAAATAAACACTACAAATCAAAGAAGCTATTACAAAGAGACTGCAGAGACACGATCTAGTTGTATGATCCAATATAACCTGAAAGGGAACATGATCCAAAAATAAGAGGTAATAACAGGAAAAGAACTGCTCTTATATCCAATTAACAGGTGAAAATAGGGCAAATATATATGAGTTTTCCCTCTCGTCGAAATTCAGATTGTATGAGCAGGTACAGGGGAATATGTTCCAAAAATAAGAGGTAATACAAGGAAATGTAACTGTTCTTGTATTCCAATTAATGGACGAAAATAGGGAAAAATAAATGGGTAAAAGTAAAAGAAATGTAGTCCGTAATCGACTTGGGAGACAAAAGAAAGGTTAAAAGATGCCTACAAAGTGAGGAGTGAGGACCACACTCCCTCATTTCTTCTTGTCAATCTCCTTGTTGAGTTTTAATCTTCTACGTTCAGTCTCATGATAAATCACATACAACAACTCGTCAAAATCAATCCCCTAACTTATTAGTTTCATAGCTCCCAAACAAATCAAAGCTCTCAGCCTCTCGCCATCAAAACTGATATAGACATCTCCAGAATTGCAAATACCCCATCCATATCATTTCTCCAAAAAAAAAAATCCTTCATATTCATTATTAGCTTGATTGGCAGATGAATTCAAGAGATGAGGACATGACATTTCATCTCTCAATAAATGATAAAAAGCCATCGTACAGTCATAATAAGATCCCACAAAGAAAAAATATATGTTTCCAAGTGATATATTAGTTAGATAAAATGCTAAAAGCAACTATAATGAATTAGTTAGCCTCTTGGAAATGCCTGATGTCCTGTTCATATTTTAGACAATTACAGGAACAAATACTCATACATGAGAAGTAAATAAGTAGTGGGTTGAAAACCACAATGCCTATCTCTTTCCACCTTTACTTCCCAAATGTAAATTTCTCATCGAATATAGAGATAGCATTTAGTTCTCATTACCAACATTACACTCAATTGAAACCAAGATTCTATTTTATTAAAAATATTAAAACAGTCACAAGAATTCAAGCTCAAGAATGTCCACCCATCCATCTTAATTTAAGCCATCTAATGTGATATCTTTGTTCTATATCAGCATCTCTGCCTAGAGAATATCCTGATCCTGGAATAACCTACTCAGCCGTTGATAAATTTAGGAAATCAAACTCACAATTGACCATTTCTATCATACATAGGATGTAGTGTAAATCTCTACCAAGCATTTCCACAGGGTAGAACCTATTCAGGAATTATGTGGCTAATTTCCCCCTTTCGCAATCAGTTTTGCTATAGTAACCACTCCGATGAACCTTTCTTAAAGAGATAAACACACATTTAGCGCCTGATTCAAAAGAGAATACAGTTCTTCGCCCTTTTTGGCAATCTATTTTCCTTCTCTTTAGGAAGGGGATGGGGAGAGCTCTTCTGATTAATTGCTCTTTTTCTGTTCAAANGAATACAGTTCTTCGCACTTTTTGGAAATCTTTTTTCCTTCTCTTTAGGAAGGGGATGGGGAGAGCTCTTCTATTTTGCTTCATGGTTCTCCTGATTAATTGCTCCTTTTCTGTTCAAACTGAAACTTCCATTTGAGGGGGAAAGATTCCTAAATGAAGAAGCCCCAGAATTATTTACTCTGCCTTCCAAAGTTCCTAGCCATGACAAGCGCTGATGTAGAGCCAGAAACCAAGAGCAGTAGATTGAACAAAAGGTGACATAATGCTTGCCTTCTTCACATTGAAAGGTAAATGTCGAGAAGAACAATTAACACGTATATATATAGTCCAACATCTTTTATTCTTAAATTTTCTTAAAGAGTAGGGGGAGTCGGTAAATAGTCCCCAAGGTCTACTATTTGGAGTGTCATCTCATTGGAATGGTTATCAATGCTAAAAAGTTAGAACCAGCACAAATTAAAGCAGGACATAATTGAACAAAAGCCGCTAATCACCAATAAATAAGATAGGACACCGACTGAATTAAACAAGTGCAGAAAAAGGATATGGACAAAGAAAGTCATCCTTTGCCCCTGTTTGACACCCATTTTATTCTCGTTCTCATTCTCATTTTCTTTTTTTTCCTTTCTTCATTTCAACCACACATTCTATCAATAAAATAATACTACACATAAACACAAAAAATCTCATTACTAAAAAACCACACATTCTTCCATCAATCACTATTTCAGAATTTATTTTTTCTTCAAAATGTATGTCAAACAGGGGCTATGTAAATCAAAAGAGGAAAAATAATCCAAAGATAGACTAAAGCCCGCCTCAGTAAATTGAAACCACAAAACATGAACTGATAATCAATCACTACCTGTAGAAACCAAAAGTGTATTCAACAAGCATTTAATACATACTGACGCTTAATATACAAATCGAACAAAAAAAAAATGCAAAGAATACTTAACCAACGAAGTTGAACAAGCCAATGCAAATTGAGCTCTGGAGTCCTGCAAAAAATTAGCCACAAAATCAGACAAAAGCCAAGTATGAAAATCAAAAGAGAAAAAATAACCCAACACCTCAACTGATAATCAATCACTGCATATGAAAACCAAAAGTTATGACTTGACACCCACCGAAACAAAGTTATCCAATGTAACATTGGCTGTTTAATCAAAAAAAGAAAAATATTTTTTCTTTCGTTATTTGGCCGCCATTTAAAGATAAAAGCCTAAATACAGCAAAACAGATAATCAAAGAAAAAAAAAGGTACGGATGTTTTAGTAAAAAAAACCATGATATTAGTAGTAGCGTAATTGAACTGGTAAAACTGCACAGACAAGTAGAAAGAGTAACAAAATGTGGTCCACTTCTGGTCCCCTTCCCTCTGTCATCTCCTCCTCTCACTCATTAATCCATTCAGAGAGACAAAGGAACAGAAAATATATATATATAGAGAGAGAGAGAGAATGTGTGTATATATCTTCTGCGATTATATCCCGTGACTTACTGTACAGAACACACCTCTCCCTCCCTTTCCCTCTCTCTATTTGTATTTATTTATATGTATATATATGTGCCCGAAGAATTGAGACTTCTTGAATTCCTTGTACCAGACGTCTTTCCATTCTCAGATACACATTTCTTCAAACAAATCCCATGTTTTGAAATCTTATTTCTGTGTTTCCTGTTCTTTATTCATTTGGCTCTTGACATACCTACTGCAGGTAGACAAAAAAGGGTGAATTCTGGGATTTTCACACTTCCGATGATTTCAAGATTGTTTTAAATATTTTGTATGTCTGAAGTACTAAATTTCTTTTCTTATCCTTTCTGGGTTTTGAAGGGTTCTTTATTTTTGGCTTGTTTTGACATTTTTTTTCCAGCTTTTAATCAATTAAAAAGTTTGCTTAATGCCAAAGTACTTTTCAAGGTTCAGGGTTCTGTAGTACTTCATCAACTCCATTCTTGGAACTAACAACCATTAATTCGTTTGTAATCATATTTGAAGAAAACAAAATCGAAGAACCAATAATTTTATATAATCAACATATTCCAAGTATGTACAACCAAATTCAATTGGCCATTAAACAGTTTTGAAGGAAACAATCACTTAGCTTCTAATTTCTAAATTTCTAAACAATCACTTCGATGTGGTGAGGGAGAGGGATTTAAAGAATTAGAAGGGTTAGGGTTTTACCTTTGGAAACAGGCAACAGGGTACTACGCGGACGAGAGT